CCACCACCCCCACACACATCCTTAGATACGCCAGTGCCTCGGCCGAATGCAGATTGTTAGCTCAAAATAGGAAATTTTGAAGTTAAATTCGTACATAACTCGCACAGGCTGTTGTTCGCTGTTTACAGTAAATTACAGTGTAAGTGGTGCGTATATTTTTATATACTGTATGTTCGTATAGGCTATTTTATATTTTGCAATTAAATATTTTCCGCATAGAATTCCAAAATGAACAATAAAATCATAATCTTGAAGAAAAAGGCCTCTCCACGGACACGATAGGCCTTAGTTAGGAACTGATTATTATGGCTGATGTTAATTGATGAAGAAATATTTTATCAATCGAATTTACAATTTTAATCTAATAATGTAGCCTAATAACAATATAAACAATTCAAGCATTTAATTTTATTTTACAAGCTTCTGTTGGCACTCTACAACTAGGCGGTATAGACCTGTTTAAATAAACCAGAAGGAAACGCCTTGAATAGCGCCCTCTTGTTATGCGAACTTACAAGTTATGAAAAACTCGAGCGTTGTTCTCTCACGGGCGCGGATCTACAGAGTTCGTCCTGACTATATCGTACAGCTGGGGTCCTGGGCGGATTCAAAGCTTCATACTTCATACCATAGAGAAAATAGAACACTCTTTTCTTTATATTCATACTAACCATCTTACAATGGTGTCAAGTAGAGGGTGGGGTCATGAGCGAACTGAGAGCGTAAGTTATGGGACAACAAACCAACATTGAACATCTGGTTTGAAATTAGACAAAATATGCTATAGCAAACGAATATCATCGCACTCGAAATTTCAGGCTATGAAATAACAGGTATACCAGAAAGGACTGAGCGAAGTACTGTAATACTGTTTAATTAAAAACATAATTTTGTTCATTTAAACGTCTGCTTGACTTACAAACACTTTTTTAAGAGAATGAAATGTATCACGCATATTTCAAGGCTGAGCGAAGCAATATTTTAATTTTAAGAATCATCAACAATTTGAGATTGACTTTCCATGCAGTAAAGAAAATAATGTTAGTTTAATAGCTTTCAGTAATGAATATTTTCAGTTTTTTGTCAGCATAGTATGATCAATATACGGTACTGTAAGTTATTGTTCAATTAGAAAATCCAATACAATATGATGTCATGTTTGCAAGTAAATGTTTACAGTTCGTGACCTAAGACCTAGCTGTTTTCTGATCCAACACCTACACTGAAACTGAGTTATTATTTTTAAATACTTTAAAATCGGTCTGTCAGGAGCATTTTAATAATGGTAATCAATGCTGTTACCAAAGTGTGGGGCAGTGGCGTATCCAGAATTTCAGGAAGATGGTTTGAAAGAGGGGTCCGGACCACGTTAAACGTCCTTTCTGTTTATAACTTCGACGATCGCAGTAGTGCA